CCTTTCTTTCCCAATTCCCACCACTATCATCGAAACCTCCCTAGCCAACAAACGCCCCCCCCCACACACACACATTGCTATTGAAATTCACCACAGTCACTGAAACACCAAGTGTTTGTAATATTGCTTCAATGAGCGGGCCAACATTATCCTTATTTTTTAGCAAACTTATTTTATTTGCTGCAGCGACCATCTATAGCACGACAACGCAACTGCGGCGATCAGCAATGACACAACTCTAGCAGGTCGATGATCTCCTAAAAAAATGGCTTATTGGTTTGAGTTTGTTATTTTTTTTAGTTTTACATATTTTTAGATTATTTACCATCTTTTCCTGTACATTCTAGGATATGAGGACCTAAAATTGGTTCAAGGTAAGTGGTCATTTGTGAACAAGGATGAGTTCATCTATTTCTGGTGTTTGTTTTGTCCAAAAACTTCAAAGAATTCTGAAAGAACCAAGGAGACCTTTTGATCAAGAGTTAAGCCTTCTATTTTATTGGCACATTTGGGAACGGTTTGCATAAAAAGAAAGCAAAAATGACAAGAACCACTGTGAGGTGTATGCACGATGTTTAATGAGTTCTTCATACTGCTATTTAAGGTTTTTTAGATTGTAATGTCTATGTTTTTAAATATTATTCTCTCTAAAAAATTTTAAATCTTAACTTCAATTTAATGCTCTGTGCACATTCATAAATTTTGCAAGTTATACATTATTCTTGTAGTGTACTGAAATTCAACTTGATTTGTTGTGAATATGTCTTATAGTTCATTTGATTTGTTGCCAATTTGATACATTATTTGGTTTGGATTGTAGTTAAAAGTAAGCTTGTCTTCTTGAAGCGGTATCGATGGTTGCTGAAAATATGTTTTAGGTTTGGAAGAGGTAATGATGGTTGTCTTAATGGTGATAGTTAATCTCGAAGTTGTGATAAATGGGTGGTAGTGGGGTATAACTCTTGGGATAAATTTTTGTATCATAAAATTAATTTAGTTGATGAAATTTGGTTTGAATTGCATAGCAAAATTAATTTAAATAGTTGACTTGGTTAGATTTAATTTTAATTTGAGCAATAAATTTGATTAGTTATCAAAATTTAAGATAAATAGTAGTAATGGTAATGGTAGTATTAGTGGTAATAGTTCTATACATTTGTATTTTTAAAGGATTTTACTTGAATTTTTTATAGGACTCAAATTTATGTATTCAGTTTCTCAATTTGATAATGTTAGCGTAGTTGAATTTAATCATGAAAATTTTATCAAGACCAATTTCCATTGATGACATGCTATCTATCCATAGGGATGACAATGGACCGGGGAAAAACGGGTATTCATTTAAAACCGCATCGTTTAGACCGAAGACGGACTATACGTACTGAATGGTGGACATCTACGGAGATATTCGTATAAACCCATACGGGAATGGAGGCGGGGATGAACTTACTCTTACCCCCGCCCCACCCCACCCCACCCCGTCCCGTCCCCGTTATCCGTTAAATAAATAAATAAATAAATATATATATACACACTTTGCCCTAATGTACTCTACTCTTCTTACTCACTCAGCCGCCCACCTCTTCCTCTATCTCTCTTTCAGCGATCAGCCTTCACATTCAACTGACCGACCGACTTCTCGTAGATCAGCCTTGCTCCTTTTCGACTGCACTCAGACCCACAACGCTAAACACTCCCCCTGAGCGACCGACCGATTGCTCTCAGACCCACAACGCTCAGCGACTGACTGCTGTTAGACTGACTGACTGCTCCTTTCTGACTACTCTCAGACCGACTTCCAGGACCACAGCGAAGGTGAGCTTTGGGATTGTGAAACTCTTTTGTTTTACCATAACTTTCAATGTGCCAATTTTTAATGGTTGGGTGATACTCAATGACATCGGCACAAACACTGGTTACTGCTTTTTTCACAAGAGCAATTCTTGTAGGATCTCCCTGTTAACTACTTGCACAGTGCAATGAACTATTAGTATTATGCCTTTTAACAGGTATTTTTTTTCCATTGACTCCTTTTCTATGCTTGGTAGTTGATTTGTTTTCAAAAGCATTTACCTAGTTTTGTGAAGGGAATACAAAATATTGTGAAACATGGTTTTGTTCAATCAAACATGATTTAAGGGTACAATACTTATACTCGAATTTCTTGAGTTCGAGTTTTATGGATAGTGTTCATCTTATAAATCGGTCTAAACATATGTTAAAGATTTCAATTGCTAGAGGTACTATTGCAACTGATCATTTCCATATACCAGAAACTGGAAGTTGAAGCTTCCAAGCAAAATTACACATGAGCTATTTGAATTTTGTCACATTAGGAAATAAGCTATTCATTCCCCTGTATTTTTGGTCAAGTTACACAAAGTCTTTGTTTATGTCTAAGAAATATGAACATAATAATTAGGCCTCTCGTCAGATGGAATTTCGTTTGATCTACATCCTATTAAAAGATTCATTCTTAATTCAATCAAGGTATCCAACAAATTTCAATTTTACTATTTGTATTAAGTTAATTATAATTTATCCCTTTAATTTTGGGTCATATTACAATCAAATTCCTCAGGGTGGTCGCTTGTATATGGTTTGTTGGTGATTGTTTTATTATATTTTGGTTTCTACTTAGTTGATTTTTACATGTAATTGAGTACTAACAATAGAAGGAGAAGAAGTGATAAATAATATGTCAACTCCTCAAACTTCTACAACACCGGGTGAAAAGCAACCAAATTCCAATCTCTACTGATGAAAATCAATCGACCAACTAAAATCCAATGACTCTTGGTGAAACAGATAGGCATAGATTAATTGTGTGGAATCATTTTAAGAGGAAAACCATTGATGAGAAGTTAAAGGCTGAGTGCAATGAATGTAAGAAAATGCTTGTTGTTGGTGCTAAGAATGAAACTAGTCACTTGCATGACCATCTTAAAAGTTGTCCGAGGAAGAAATGTAAAAATTTGAAGCAACATTTATTGGTATCAAACCAATCAAAGAAGGATACCGAGAAAACAATAGACAATTGATGATTTGTTCAAGAGGCGGGGAGGAGGGATCTTGCTAATATGATTATATTGCTTGAATATCCTCTTAGTATGGTTGAACATCACGAGTTTCAAAAATATTATCACACTCTTCAACCAATATTCAAAATGATATCCCGAAACACTCTTAGAAATGATATCCTTCAAATTTACAAGACCGAAAAAGAAAAGACAATGAAGTTGTTGGAAAAGACAAAAAGTAGAGTTGTTATCACTACGGACATGTAGTCCTCAAACAATCAAAGAAAGGGATACATGACAATCACCACACACTTTATTGACAATTCTTGGACATTACAAAGTCGGAGTATAAAGTACTAATGATCTTTCATTAGCATGTGTTATTTATTATAAGATACTAATGATCTTCTATTAACATGTGTTATTTATTATATTTAGATTTTTATACATGCCTTATCCACATAGCAATGAAGTGCTTACGGAGTGTGTGATGGATTATTTTTTCGATTGAAACCTTGATAGAAAGTTGATCACTTTGACTGTGGATAATTGTACCACTAATAATGCAATTGTGACTATTTTGTTGGATAAACTTTCATTTGGTTTACTAATATTGCATAGTCTGTTATTCCATATGCGTTGTTGTGCATATATTCTCAACTTAATTGTTCAAAATGGTTTGAGTGTGATTGGAGATAGTATTGAAAGAATTCGTGATAGTGTTGCTTATTGGACAACATCTCCCAATAGAGTGCAAAAATTTGAAAAAGCAGTTCATCAGATACATATTCCAAGTAACAAGAAGCTTGCTCTTGATGTTAAGACTCGATAGAACTCTATTTTTCTCATGCTTCAAACTAGTTTGATTTATAGAGATGTGTTTGCTCGCTTGAAATATCGAGATTCTCATTACAAGATTTGTCCGACTGAAGATGATTAGGAGGTGGCAAGAGAGATTTGTGAAAAATTGGAATTGTTTCATATTGCAACAAAATTGTTTTCAAGTACAAAGTATCCTACTGTCAATGTATACTTTTCAATTATTGGAGGGATAAGAATAGAAATATCTAAGTGGCTTCAAAGTCCCAAAGATGTGATAAAAGATATGGTCTTGAATATGTTGAAAAAGTTTAACAAATATTGGAATGTGATTCATAGTATTATGGGAATAGCCACTGTTTTAGATCCACAGTATAAGTTGAGAATTTTAGAGTATTACTTTGAGAAAATGTATGGAGGTATGGAAGCTTTAAATGAAGTGAAGAGGATTAAGGAGCTTTGCTTGAAATTGGTAGACGAATATGAATCGAGACAAGGAAGTAATTATGAACCATAACTTTCTCATCTCCCTCTTCAATCAGATATTGATTCCAAATGCCCATTAATTGATGATCTCTCTGATTTTGATAAGTTTATACAAACAAGAGACATAATAAAAGCACGTGGGAGGTCTGAGTTGGATCGTTACTTAGAAGATGGTATGACACCAAGAAGTTCAGATTTTGATATACTGTCTTTTTGAAAGACAAGTGGTCCCAAGTATCCTCTATTTTAAATGATTGTTAAAGATCTTTTTGCTATTCTTATTTCTACTGCTGCCTTGGATTCTGTTTTTAGCACAAGTGGGAGCGGGATCAGTCCACATCGCAATAGACTTCTTCCAACTACAGTAAAGACTTTAATGTGCTATCAAAATTGGTTATGTGTTGAAGAACGAGATAATGAAATATTATTTGTATGTGCATCATAATTTTTTTTGGGAGGGTAAAGTATGAGTAATGTATTTTTTTTTTATTAGGTTCATCTACTTCGACGGCCTGAAAAGCTATACATTATTGGAGGATCTTGATATTGATGATGAAGTATATCAATTTAATTGAAAATTTCTCTTTGGAAGAATCTAATTATTTTTCTTTTAATGATATAGGAAAATGATGTTGAAGAAGTTGATTCTACCACCACCGATGGTGTTAAGTGATGATTGAGTTCGTGTGAAGTTGATGTTAAGAGACATTTGAGTTGATTAAGATGATTCTACCACTCATTATGTTATTTGTGTTATATTGTGTAATGTTGAATTATATCAAATTTAAGTAATATTTTGGACATTTAATGTTTGTGTTTTGTTCAAATATGTTATGCTACAATATGTTGTGTTAGATTATTTAGAATGTGCTTGGATTATTTAAAATTTTGAATATATTTAGAATTTTGGATTATATTGGCTTGAACTTAGGTTTAGGCTTAAGATTGGGCTTGGGCTTAGGCGGGTGCGGGAGAAGCAGGGACGGGGACGAAAATTATAAATTTACCCGTGGAAGGGGATAGAGATGAAAATTATACCCGTTAGCGGGGGTGGACGAAGATTTTTTAAGTGGGTACGAGGACAGAGACTATGCGCCCCGCCCCCGCCCCCGCTTCGGTCCATTGACGTCTCTATCTATCCACGAATATGTTTAAGTATGATATATGAAAAACATATTTACTTGATAAAATTTGCACATCTTTATATTTTTGTGGGGTTTTATTTTTATAGAGAATTTAGAGGTAATTGTTTAGAAGAATAGAAAAAAATATTATATTTATAGGCACAAGCATTCTCTAAACTATCAACATACTATGAGGATAAAAAATGTAATTTAACCTGATAGAGTGTTAAAAATTTAGTTTTATTGATTTAGATTTTGTTAATGTTATTTATTATATTTTTTGTTGCAATTCATCTCTTAATCTCTCTTCTTTGCTTTCTATCTTATATTTATTTGATTGTTTTCATACCACAATAATTTTTGAATTTACTACCATTTGAATATCAATTAATAATTAAACGGTCATTGAACAATGGTTGACATTGTTTTGATTTGTATTCTATCAAATATTTTTTTAAAAAATTATGGGCCCATATTATGTTTATCAATGTTTTTTCTTAGTTTTTCAAATTGATAATTTTTTATGGCATATAGTCTCTTAATGCACATGTATTTGCTTTCGAATTTTTTGTTTGTTACATCGTGCCTTCAGACACGGGTAATTGCTAGTAAATAAATAAGATACATCTTAACACAAATAATTAACTTTTTATCCACTTACTTCCGATTTTAGAGGAATTGATTTTGGTGAGTTGGAAGGAATGTTAATCCATCCACTTTTCCATCCTTTCTATTTTTCTTCCTTACCAAACATGATGTTTTATTTATCCCTCCAATTTTTTATCATTCCATTTTTCCATCATACCAAACGGATTTAGATTCCCTCCATTACCCCTTCCCTTCAATTTCCCTCAATACAGTGCTAGATGAGTGACATGTGTAAAATTTTAAATTTCAATGGATAAGATATTTCTTCATTCATTTTTGTTGTTGGTGGAGTGTTATCCATTATTAAGGAATTTTCTCAAAAGAAAAAATCTTATTCATTAAAATTCAAAATTTACACGTGTCACTCATCTAACATTGTGTTGAGGAGAATTGAAGGAAAGGGGTAACGGAGAGAATCTGAATCCAAGATTTTCGGCCTTCTACGTTTCAAATTCCATTAAGTCCTCCTCTATGGCCTTACCCTCCCCCTCTTTTTCTCTCAATTTGCCTTCCCTTGAAACTAAAAGTGCGAAAGAAGAAGCTAATCCTCCTGCTTCTCCTCCTCCAGTGGTGCTGGTAGCGTCTCAAAGAAAGTATGGGATTCCACCTTCATATCTAGTTGGTTTGATTTGCATTGCATTGTCTCTTTATATTCTTCTGATTTAGTTATTTTCCAATATTTGACCCAACCATGAAATTAAAAAATATTCTGTATGAATTGGTGGTGCAATGAATTTTCTTGTTGTTTTCGTCTGATTTTTGTTCTTGGATTTGGGAGTTGATGTGTGTATATATTGGTTTTGAACATTCTTTGCTGTGATTTTTATTCTAATTACTTTAAATTGTGTTTGAGGATATG